TGGTGCTTAGTTGCTGGCTGGGGCTAAACCATGACAGAAGGCTATGATCATTCTGTCTCATTTTCCTTACTTCAGTTCCTAGCAGTGTATTACAGACATTGCCCTTTGCATGTTCAACATCATTTGTTAGTGTTACCAATAAAAATGTCTAGGACTAACCTTAGTCTCTGCTTATAATAGTCTTCATCTCCATCATCTCTCCATCTCTTTACTTTGCGCTTCCCCAGTGTGTGCTCTTCTTCCTCAGAGCTTGGAAAGAAGTCAGCATCATCTTCAGCTTCTTTAAAATCTCCCTTCACCGAATATTTTCTTTTTCTTGACAAATCCCTGAGTTCATAATCAGAATCATTCTCAGCATGAGAAGATGCCTGCTTTTCCTCCTCTTCTGCTGCTTCTGGATCAAAGAGCTCCTCATCAGGTACATACTCAGACTCTCCACTATCATCCTCCTGTTCACGCCTGAACTTCTGGGCCTCAAGATATTTCTTTCCTTTTGGAATCGCTGCCTTTGACTGAATCTGAAGGGCATGCTTCTGAAGTTTTCTCATGTGTTTTTTTAAGCGCTTATCTGTTTTTGACAGGGCTTTACCCCTTTTTTCTTTTGTAGTAGATGCGGGAGCTATGCACTGAACATGTTTGCCTTGTGTTTTCTTCTTTGCTCCTTTGCGAAGGGATAACTTCTTTCTTTCAGATGACAGCTTAGCTTGGTCTGCTAAGTACTTCTCAAAATCAGATGCTTCATTTAGCATTAATCGTCGTGCCTTCCCCTCTGGCTTCTGAGGTATTTTAGTTCCAAATGGAGTCATCTGGCCAGTACGAATAAGCTCTTCCCACTCTGTTTCCTGAACAGGCATAAGCATACTGCCAAGACATGATGGACCAGGTTCTACAACAAAAATCAGAACATCCAGCATGCCTTTAACACTTTCTGAATAACTCAAACACAGGAACAAGGGTGTTTTGGTTCCTCTCCCACCACCCCCCAAGCTTTATATGCATTCAGTTCAGTTTTTGTATAGAACTTAAAAGTCCAAATTATCGTCCCATGTAATACTTGAAGTTCAAAAAAGGCAAAACCCAAAAAAAGAACGCCAAAAAAGTCAGACCATAACTTTTACTTCAAACTACTTCTCAGACTTCATATTGAAAACATTACACATACTATCAAAATGCAAATACTTCTGAAACAACATGCAGCAGCAAGAACTACCATAAAATTACAGTCCCCCATGGCACATGAACTCTAATGTGCTCCCTATGCTGTCAATTCAACCCATGTCACCATGCTCAGTGCAAGAAACCACTGCATTCCCATATGCAGCAACATCATCCATTTCTATTTTATTACTGATTTTTCAGTCCTACTCATAAGCTTGAAATTTGACATTTCCATTACCACACCAGGACAGACATAAATCTTACAAAATACATAAAAGACTGTCTTCCCACATGCTTCAAAAAAAAAAAAACCAAAAAACCAAACAAACCACCAAAAAACCCAACAAACTACCCAAACCCCATCTTCATACTCTACAATACTAATATTAGGATTATGACTTTAAAAGTCAGATGGGCTGCAGAGCACATTGCCATAAAAGAGCACTTCCGTTAAATTGCATACACAGTTACTATATATATTGACACAAACTACAATTAGTATTTGAAACCAAAGAGGGGGAAAAGCTCTTGAATTCAGGAAGCTGAAGGGGAATTCCAGACTGAAATCTAATATTAGGGTCCAAAATTTCAAAATAGCTGTACCAGAATTGCTGGCACAGCATGCTACTGTACGTGGTCCCATTTAAAGCACAGTATTTATCACCAAAACATGTTTAACAAGTAACGATGATGCATCAGGCATGAAACTCCTCCCTCTCCACCCCCTCAATTTCTCAAACTACCGGAACTGCTCAACTCCATTTCTTCTGTCTCGGGCTCCATTCACTGCCTAGTTACATTTCATCACACCAGGTGCCTAAGTTTTACTGCATGAACCCATTCAAAGAAAAAGGATTAAGGATGCTTTTTACTAAGAAAAGTTTACTGAGGTTTTGACTCCTGTACATTTTGTTGAATCAGGACAGAAGCATGAGCTTTGTGAGATCTGGAATCCACTCCAGCCACATCTGCAATGGACACATAGCACAAAGACCACACACCTCTGCAAACAACATTATAACCCAAAGGTGATGTGCAGACATCAATGGGGTCCAAACTTGCCCTGCAGAATACTGCAGATTAGCGATTGTGGCAAAGACACAGCCAAGCCGGAGTTACAAAATCCAAGCTCAGTTTACAGACAGCAGTGAGAAAGAACACCTAGTGAAACACTTAAAGAACAAATACCCTGCTTTGGAAAAAGCCTTGTTTTTATTTTTTTTTAAATCACAGTGCAGACTGAAAAAGAGAAGCACTTCCCCCTTCCATTTCTAGCGATACTTCCCAACAGTAAGAAAAAACAATTTTGTTAATGCTGATTGATAGCATCCCGCACATAAAATGTAATTCAATCATGATGTTAGTCATCTTTATCAAATTAGCTGTGAAAAAATGTTAGGATTTCCAATTTATTAAGCCCAATACTCTAATGTGCCTCAGCCATCCCTACTGAGCTGAACATGGATTAACATCCATTTTTTAAAACTTCCCACATGAATATGCCAAGATCTGCAATTCTGCAGGTGCAGAGAATAAGTGTTCTTAACTCTCTCTTTGAAAGCAAACCACTGAAATTTATTTCCTTATTGGCGAAGATTTGCAAACTAGCTTCAAACAAAAAAAGGCATTACATCAAAGTAGAACAGAACTTTCAGCCTTTTCCCATACCTTCATCTTCGTCAAATTCAATCTCATGTACTTTATCAAGAATCTCTGTTCCACCAAGAACTGCTTGGAGACGCTTTTGTTTTGCTTTGATCTTCTTTAGCTGTTGTTCCTTGAATGACAAGTAGGTACATAATTTAATTTTCAATCTGATTCACAGACTTGCTATCCCTTTATACAATAAATTACTACATTTGTAGTATTTTCCACCAGAATCTCATACTCAAACATTCACAGTATTGCTTTTGAAACAAAAGAAGTGCAAAAGCGTCACCACAATATCTGTAGGGCTCCAACCCACAGAACACACACAATTTTGTGCGTACAATCATCTTGCAATACTCCTACAGTTAGATCAGATTGTTTATACACACAAATTTCACATGCACATTGCGCATTTTCTATGGACATCTTTCAGGTCATTTTATGAATGTGTTGATTCCAGTGAAGGAAGCCCATCACACTGATTAGTGAGATGTGCAGAGAACACTGGAAGATTTGTTCATGATTTGCAAGACTGGGTTAATAGTTAATAAGCCACTAAAAACAGATACAAGATTTAGTAAGATTTATTTATCATCTGTTTTGGAATGTTTTGTTAGAAAGAAACTGAAATTGTAAATCAGTCCATCATCCTAACATAAGTTTGTACACAGTTAATTCAGGAGTGGTCAGAGCTAATTTAACAGCAAAAACTACAAAGTGAAATGACTTTAAAAAATAAGTGAGAAAAAAATCAACATTACAGATGTATAACAGGTATACTTCATTACTGCTATGAAAGTAATTCATAGCTAGCTCTTCTGTTACACCTTTTAGCTGACTGTAATATCCTCAACTGTATATTTACTGATCACATTGTGATTCCTTGGTGTTACTAACTTTCATTTATGAAACAAGAAATTCCAACCAAAGACATAGGCAATGTAACTTTTCACATTTCTAACTCCATTCTTTGGAAATATTTCCTTACCTGGAGAGGCACATACTTCAGTAAAAATCAAGTTCATGGCAAAATGAGCAATGTTTTTTTTTTCTTTTTGGTGAAGAATGGTTCACTAGCCTGCTCGTGTCTTCACGTAGCACTTTTCAAACCACAAAGGGTAAGTATATTCATGTATGGTACAATATATTATCTCCTGTGTACGCACTATTATCCTTGCTACCAGAGTACTTTATATCATAAAACACTCCCTGTATGACAACTCTAAGGAAATAGCTGTCTTGTACCAGTCATTAATTTCCCATTTGTCTCAATAACAGAAGAATTCAGTTTTCTTTCACCATTTTTTGTCAAATACTACAAAAGGAAGAGTACTAAAAGGTACTTCTCCATGCAAAAAGTAGCTCATAGACCAGCTTTAAATACACTGTCTGCCTCCAAACAGCCTCCAAAACACTCTCGAGGTTATTAATCACTTTTACATACCATAGTTTTCATACAGGGATTTATTCTTACATTTCAAGGACTGTTAGAGATGGCTAACAATGAACTTACAACGAGGTTTGAACTTCCCCTGCAACTAACACTTGCATAAATTACTTCAAGCAATATGAAAACAAGCAAAATACAGTGTCCAATTACATGATCACTCTTTAGTGGTAAGTCTGGTTTAACACATTTCTTCCCACTACTTCCAGCTACTTTTTCCTAGTCCTGTGCCACTGTTCAGTAGTCTCCCCCTCGCTCTCTTAATTGGCCAAATTGTGAGTACGGTGTTATCCAAGTTGCTGAAATGATCACAGTTAAAAACAACTGAATGAGCAAATGGCTTGAGGTGGGAAGAAGTGTCTGAGGGCAAAGGACAATAAGTTTTTCAGTCAGGTTGATCATTAGAGAAAGTATTAGGGTTAATTTCCATCAGAGGGTGGGCTGATCAAAGTGCTACATTGCTGACCAGGAAAAGTTTCCCTTGTCTCAGATCTCCTTCATCCTATTCACAGCTGTATAGGTTTATTGCTTGCATTACCCTGATGCCTGCTAGACTGCTCTAAAAGCTCCTTTAACTTACTATTCTTGCAGAAAAAAGCTGGAGCATTTTCTGCCAAATCAATGAGTTAAAATGGCTCACAGAAAGGAATGATGTGGACTGGTACAAGAAAGACACAGACAATGAAAGAGGATTAAGGAAAGGAAGGTAGGGAATGAAGACCACAAGAGCTCAGATTTAGGTCAACTATTGAATCTTGCCCTAACAATGCTTTGCTAATTCTCCAAATACTACTGGGAGGGATTTAATTAAATTAAATCCAATCAGTCTTCCAAGAAGGTCCTGGAATTTCAGTTTTACCGCTTGTTCTGAAACTTAGAATAATAACTAAAAAAAAAAAATTCAGCTCTCACTTTCACATCTTTAAATTAGTTATTTACATTTTTTGGTAGAAAATTAAACCATTTAAGAAGGGAAGGAACAGCAATTGTAGATTGACTCTGAACTATGTAATTAAGCAAGAACTATATCACATAATCCAAACCTTAAGCCAAAGTACAAGCTAAGTATTGTCAGCAGGAAATTAATGTAATCCAATCACCTTGTTATATTTTTGCCGTTTTACAGAATCTAGTTTTCTGTTTATATCTTTGTTGTCGGCAGCTTGAGGTGAAAGTTGCTCAATAATTTTATTTATTTGTTTCAGAGACGTTGTACATGATCTGAAAAAACAAGAAGATTGCAATGTACTAGTCAACTCTAGAAAAATAGCACATTCTCGATTCAGACAATTTAGAAATTCCAGGAGACTTAATGTAAGATTTAAAAAGGTCTAAAGGTAAGTTTCTAAATAAGCATCTTATATTTAAACAACACTGGAAATACTAAACACTTTAAAAAGTTGTACATCATAAAATATTTTTAAACAAAATTTTGCTAATACTAAAACTCCAAGGGCAAGGAAACTGAACAAACCACTGCCATATTCAGTACTCAAAAGTTACAAGTCTGATAATGATAATAAGCAAGTGACAGTTGTTGCTTTTATTATTCAAGGTAAACAAAATGCAAACCAAAAATCTAAATGGGAAATCCCATGTTTTCATTTTCTAAAACTGTTTTAAGAGTTTGATGCCATTATATAAGGAAGCCTATTTCTTTTACCTTTACAATATCACTTTTACCCAAAGAATAGATTACAAGATACGAATACAGTTTCAGGAATACAGATTAGGTCAAAGAATTAACAGCACATCAACATTAAACCTCCCTTACTGACACACTACCATCTCTCATGTTTCCATATACAATACGAAATTAACGCTGAACCACTTATTATAACCTAATATCATCTGTTTCTGCTGTTGAATTTGTTTGCAGGGAAGGAAGCAGTGCCCCACTGTCAGAAGCAACAAATCTAGGTTTGTTGATTCCAATAGCAGAATATTTCATATGGATACATATATTAGCATCTCAAAGCATTATGAAAAATGCCAGAGAAAACTCTTTACAACACCTGCAAAGCGGCCATTATTCCCCTCATATGCAAAGAAAAGCACTACATAAGTCTCCTCAGTTGTCAGGGAGGAAATTGTTGGGCCACATTTCTCTCCAGCTCTAATCTGGATTCTACCACTGTTCTCCTGGGAGATGTATTCTACCAGCTCCCCAGCTATCACTGCCATCTTCACTTCTCCATTCTCTTTCAACACTTTTGAACCATCCCATCCCCTTTCTCAGTCTTCTGTTTCGTTGCTTTGAAGTATACCATCCTCTTGCATGTCTCCTAACTTTCACCTCTTGCTTCCTTGGCCCTAGGGTCTCTTGACACATACCACTACCGTCCTCTTCCACAAAGCTTTGTTTAACAGGACTGGGGGATTTAAACAGGATTTCACTTCAACCATTTTTCATTTTCCTTCTTCTGCTTAAATTTGCATGTATATTATAGAATCATGCAGCTTCTACTATGAACTCTGTGCCAACTACTCAAAAAACACTTCTTGCCTGATATTACCTCGTCATGCATTCACCGTGTTACAGGACTTCAACCAACACTATCACACTCTACTCATACATCTTTACTTCTGTTATTCCCCCTGCTCAACAAGCCAGCTATATCTCTGCTAATTTTCTCAAAAATGAACTTTCAGACTTGCACATTACATCTTATACAGATGAGGTCCTACAGGTCTGCATAAACCATTTGCATCCCCTCATGTATATCCCATTTTACAACTTTAAGTAGAAGGTGAAAACAGAGAGGTAAGAAAAATCACAGGATGTGTATTAAACAGGAAAAAATCAACTAATTGACAGTGCTGTGCACCGCTCTCTCAATAACCGCATAATCTAATTGCAATGATTATGCTGCTCCATTCTACCTCTCATTAACCATCTTACTCATTATGTCCTGCTACATAACATCTGAAATTACGTTCCAGTTTTGCAAACTTACTTAGTTTCACATCTCCACACCTACTGGAAAATTAATGAAGTGCATAAAATTAAGCATATGCATAACAAGAGAGCTATGTGAGAGTTCACATAGGTAATGGAGGCCTACAGCACTCTTGAGCCCTAAAACACAACATTAATGCAACACAGTGAAAGATGCACAGGTAGAATTCTTTACCTGCAGTAGTTCACACAGCAACTCTACAATGAGACTAGAAACAAAGGGAGACCTCAGATCAATACTCAAAAGATTAGTGGCTCCTATCCCTCAAAGTCTTCTACTATCAATATACTATGTTAATTAAGCATTTGATTCTTTTGAGGTGACATTAAGTACTTCATACAAGCACTTGTGATAAGGTTGTTTTGGTTGTAATACACTCATGATGTGGAGTCATCCAAGTTACAGAAAGCACAGAACCAGAAGCAGATAATCCCATGAAGCACTGAAGTGGCACAGAATTGAAGAAGTGGCACCTTTTCTGACTATAACTTTGAATAATAGAGTATAATGCAGTTCTCCACTGCCCAGAAAACAGACACGCATCTTGGTAAGGTAGGAAACAAAGCAGAAAAAGGAGATGCGCTGTCCTCTACTGCCTTGATGCATGACTAAATTAGTCAAATAAGAGCAATGAAGCATTGCTCTGATGTGAAAAATATTTTCTCTTTTTTTAAAAGGTGGGTGACTCAGAAGAGTACACATGATCTAGTGCTTTCAAAACATCTTTTCGTCTCCCAGCTTTTAAAAACATGAGATGCTGAGCCTCACTAGATAGTCAGTAACAGAAAGGAACAGTAAGAGAGGACACAGTTTACCTTAAGTCATCCAGCACTGACTGATATTCTTTCTCCGCATCAGCTATTTTTGTTGCTTTATTAGCTTCATTAATTGCATTATCTACTTGCTGAAGAACTCCTTGCTCCAATACATCCTGGTCATAGACATCAACTCCTAACCCTTTGAGCTCAGCAGCCTGTGCACTAGATGAGATGGACTGAATCTGCTGCCTGTTGATCCGTAAAAGGGGTTGTCCTCTTCTGGGCACCTCCAAAGGAATAGCCATGGAAGTGGATGACTGGCTGGCAGAGTTGGGAACTCTAATACTGTTACACAGGTCACTGTTATAAATGCCATCTTCTTGTTCAATTCCCAATTCCTCAGCATTATGCAGGCAATTATTGCTCGAAGTAGTAACAGGGTCTTGTTCTTGGATAGTGTCTAGCAGGTGGCTGTTATCTGTTGGCATCCTCTGCTCAAAGGCAAGAAATAAGAACTACATCATTAAAAGAATATTCAGACACACAAAGTTCCTCCTGGAGACTGTGGCCAAATAAAAGTAAGCAAAACAATGAGTATGTTTCTTTATGAGAAATTCTTGTTTCAAAACACCTAGTAGTCTACGTCTCCATGAGTCCTGTTCCCAAAGGCTTCTCCACACTAATTTCCACAATCAAAAGGAAAAAGTGGCCAAAACTTCTTCAAGACAACTATATGGAATACTCCTAGAAGATGCTGATATCAAGACAAATAAAACAACCTCTCCTTGCCAGAGAGTGAACTCAAATGTTGTGTGTAAATGGTCATGCTTCAGTAGACTATGCCGTAACAAAAACATAGCAACTTAACATATACCAAACCAAAACATTCAAGTTTTTGAAACAGGATAAGACTTGCCAGTGAAAACACTGATAAGAACAGCTGGCTGTAGGCTTTAGTTTGACAATTCAGCTTTGAAGGCGAATATAAAGCATCTTAGTTGATAGGAAATTGACACTGGATTGACTTACCAAGGCAAGCCTGGAGCTCGTATTGTTTGGAGCCTTCAGGGTGAGACTGTTTCCTGAAAGGATGTATTGTTTATCAACTTCGGGGAGAAACAAGTGTTAACTTGCAGGAAGGCATTAATAGGGCAGGTGGGCTTCACCAGCAACCTCTCCTAGCATGGCAGCCGGCGGATCTCAGTCCCAGCTCACGGTTTTCTTCGCTCAGCTCCGAACACCCACGCAACGGCTTTGGCCCTGCGTTCAGGCAACAGGTACCATGACAACCCCGCGCACCGGCCAGCTCCCCCCGAGGGACCCCGGCCCCCATCCA